ATTTCCCTCAATTATTTTGGAATATGATAATTTCAAATAATTTTCCGTTTTTAGGCGTTTAATTTCTAATTCCAAAATATTATCTGATGATCCTTTTTTTTGGTAAAATAAAATTTCCGAGAATATATAAATCAGATAATTTTCTAACTCTACTCAGTGCTACATACAGCATTGCTCTTTTCATATGATTTCTGCCTCTTAGATCGATACATACTTTATCGTAGGTTTGTCCTTGGCTTTTATGTATTGTTAATGCTTCCGCAGGTGTGATTGGAAATTGTTGTCTCACAATTTGATATCCCATTCTTTCATTTATGTTCAATACTACTGTTATTGTTGATATAGGAACCAAACTCATTTCCATACAGTTTTCATTCATATAACTAATATACTTTCTACGTTTTTCAAATCCAATTTTATTGTTATTAAAATCAAGCCAAATTTTAATTGCTTCCTCTGTACCTGGTATAAATGTTATTTGTTTTAATTTACCACAAGCACCGTTAACTAATCCATCCTCTACATCAATATTTGTAGTTATCATATAATTGATACCTATTTTTAGACTAACTTTGTATGCCAAACCTGCGCATTCGTTTGGTTTTTTATTTTTTAAGGATGTTAAAATTTTATTTCTCATTTTACTTGAAATTTTTCCTAAAATTGAGTCTTTAGCTATAAATTCAAAAGATTGTCCCTCATGTGAATCGATTTTCATTTTATTGAAGCTGTTTACCGAGCAATTATCAGGATATAATCTAATCGCGTCTTTTGGAACGTGTCCTTCTTTCGTTTCACGTGATTTAATTATAGCAATATCATTTGCAGTCATTGCACATCTCGCTAGATTGTTAAGGGCAATAGTAAAGCTTTTATCTCCCTTTTGTCTCATTATTTCGCTTAACTCAAAATATTGAAATTCATTCCATAGAACATTTTCTGCCAAAAAACTTAGCGTGCATGATTTTGAGGATAAATAAATATGCGTATCCATTACCGGTGGTAATTGATACAAATCTCCGACCACCAAAACAGATACTCCTCCAAAGCTTAGATTACGCCCCATTATTTGTCTTAATCTTGTATCTACTCTGCTGAACATCGTACTACCTACCATTGAAATTTCGTCTATAATTAGTAATTTTAATTCAAACAAGCTCTCGCGAATAGTATTCGCTACGTCAGCAGAGAGTTCTGGCATTTGTCCACCATACTGTGTTATTGGTAAAGCAAAAGCTGTGTGTAATGTTACACCACCTATTAAAAATGCCGCTTTACCAGAAGGTGCGCATAGTAATATTTTTACAGAATTGTTTTTTTCCCCAGGGTCTTCATTAAAGTAATTCAATAAAACCTGATAAATAGCGTTTATTAATACGCTTTTTCCAACTCCGGCTGATCCACCAATGTAAATTCTAATAGGTAAACTTCCTATTTTAAAACAATTCAAAATGTGCATTGTTATTTCCCTTTGTTTATCATTTAATTTACCCATCAAATTAATTACTTCTTCTTTTGTCGATTTAGGAGGAATATTAAATTTTCTTTTATTGCTTTTTGTGCAAGTAGTCAAACCAGTTTGTCCAAATATATCTATTTCCTGCTCTTTTGGTATTTTCTCATCTATAAACGATTCAAATTCATCATCTTCTATATCCTCATGATCCTTTTGTGCCTGAAATAACGCGTTGTCAATTTCTGCATCACCTATAACGGAGAATTTCTTTCTATTTTCCTCAATTATGTGAATATTTTCTATATAAATTTTTTCACAATCTTGATTCTCGACATTATCTTTTTCGTTTTTCCAAGGTAAAAACAATAAAACCTGTTCCCTAAAATAATTATACCTATTCTCTTGTAATTTATAACGTCGAAATCGAATAATTTTCTGTTTTTTCCTATCTCTCATTTCAATCTCTTCATCTGATTCTTCGAACCCATCTGTTCTTAATAATTTTCTATTTTCTTCATAATTTGCTGCAAATTCGGCCAGACAAACATTTGACATTTTATGATAATTCTGCTCTCGTACTTTTCAATTATATTTTTGTAATACACTCGACAGCAAAATTAAAGGATCACTAAAATATTGCCAAAAAATTGTCGATTTTTAAAGTGCTATAACTTCGTGAAACAAAATCGTACGACAATGTTTCTGGGCTCATTGTAAAGGGCGAAGCCTCTACTTTCGCTTCCCG